TCAGTTTTGTATGCCCCTGAATTACCCATCGTCCCATTTTTGTGCCTCTTGATGACCTCGTTATTTGCCGTCTCTTTCTGCAGCCTCTCTGTTTTACGTGTTCTGATTCGTCAAGGGCCGGGGGGGGGGTGTGGGCGGGGATGAGGAGTGAGTTGACCAATCAAAGCAGAGGGCTTCCCACACCGTCATGACCATACTGGCAGTGCTGTGGTTGTGGTTTGTAGGGTTTCTTGTGTGTGTCGGTCTGGACATGTCGTGGTTTTTAACATATAATGATAAATGTGTGATAATGGTGTCTGCACACTGGTTAAGTCTGCCCAGCTTTTTGGTGTTACTTCTGCTGTTTCTACACAGGGCGGGAAAACTGTCGTGTTTAAGTTCCAGCAATGAGTAAATGACATGAACTGGTATACATCAGAGTAAATTTTACTACCATGAATTCTTAAATAAAAGCCAAGTCTGAAATTATATTATGATAATATTTAAAACTTACCTTTGAAGACTATTAATGTAAGAATTATGAAGAATAAAGTTTTATTCATGGTAGCTAAACATTGTCCAGGGGAAGTGGAACAGCTGACGTAACTCTTGCTGTACTATTTACATTGGGAATGCTGCTGTTAATGTTTGAGGAGAATCTGAGTGGCAACGTCATATAGAGTTCAGCAGCAAGAAAACAAAAAACACAAGCAGGATGAGAGTTGGATTACATAATGAGAGTATCATACTAGAAACTGTCAAATATAAGCATCGTTTGAATATTTTCAAATAATTCATGTAATTCTTTTGCATTCCATGATTAAAAGTTGAAATTGAATCCTGAAGCTCAGTTTGGAGCTTAACCAGTGATATATAATACTGTATCATCTGCATAACAATTGACTTTGCAGGACTGATTAGGGAGAATAATACTATGTGTGTATAATATAAATAAGAGTGGACAGAACAGGAGACCCTTGAGGGCTTGATTCAGAACCATTAAGCACGTTAGCACTTACCACAAAGCATAGCTGAGGCTAATGGGAATGTCATTAGTTTTTGTAGATATATGTTCATAAACCAAAGTAATGGAAAAAATTTAAATTATGATCTGATGATGGGACCATGAATGTCTCTACAATTTTTAATGCAAGAGTCAAACTAAAAAGCGTATGTTTGATAATGTTAAATATCTGGAAAATAAACTTGCCCCACTCTGTATCAATTATTGGAAAAGTTGTGTATCAGATCATCAATGGATGTTCTTCTGAGAAATTGTGGTAGGTCATAATGTCCAAAACAGATGTGATTAAGACACAGACATGCACAGAGAAATAGACAAGTGCATTGGGATTAATGACAGGATTTAATTTGAATACACATCTCTTGGTTTATAAGTTATTTGAATCCCGAACAAATGTTCATTGTAATGGACTGAGTCAAGGAACCATAGTTAAATATTATTACATTGTTGGCACGAATGTAAATTCAGCTGTTTATGTACTAAGACTTTATATTCTGGAAATTAATTTTAGTGTTTTGGAGAATTTAAGATGATTAAGAATATGAACCTACGTGTGCACCAATCAGTAAAGTTGTAATATAATGTATATTGTCTGATGCTGTAATGTAGTATAGTAATATTGTAGTATAATAATGTATGACAACTATTTAAATAAAGGAATAAATGTCATAATTTACTCTGTGTTTTCTTTGTACCGTCTCAATATTCAAATAGTGGTGCTGCTGACTCTGCAATCTGATCTCCCTGTGGCACAATAATGCGAAATATGAATTTGCCTGTTGTAATCTACTGTAAAAGAGTATCATAAAAAATATGACTGGCAAAAAACCCACACTCCTGCTCTCACCTGTTCTACACACACGCACACCTACGACACACATGCATATTAGGACATATCTGTACCAGATACCAGTGAACGGCAGTCAGTGAATTTTAAGACGCAAGAGAAGGACGATCAGATAGAAACTGCTGAGGTGGGTGTTCTTTAAAAGTAAAGATTTAGAAATGTTTTAAGATTCAGTTATTAACTTTGAAATTACTTTTTTATATTTTATAAACTACATTTTTGTTTTTTAATTGATATCATTGATAACTTTTTTTTGATGAGGAATTATAGACATAATTTTCTCATGTTGAAATACATATCCAGTCTTTTTATAAATGTTTCAATATTGTATTTGCTAAATTAGTATTACTTGAGAAGTCATTAAGTGAAGTTAAATTTGTGAGTTCATTTACAACTTACTAAACTTTATTATTTGATTACATCTTAAGATCCACCATGAAGTATATTTTTGTTAATTCAGCCTCGGGTTTTGAAAACTGCAAAGCAACAAACAAGAAAAGCATAAATATAGACTTGACAGTCATGATAGGCTGTTTATTTTTTGTGGGTATAGATCAGAAGGTTACATGTGTAACCATGGTTCTCTCAGTCCTCGTTTGACCCCCATGGGAGCAGCAGACGTGGATACTCTTTAATACGCATCATTGGATTGGAAATGTTGAATAAGCATAATGAGGATTACTTAGCAACATTTTATTAGCGAGGTCATTTATTTTCTCCATGTCTCCATTTGACTTTAACATTCTTCCTCTGTTCTCGTCTTTTCATCTCCCCCTTCTCTTCAGGCCTACATTGACATAAATATGTCGCTCGACCCCTCTTCCTTCACTGACACCTCCCTTCTTCCTGCAGGCGCCCTCTCGTCTAACATCTCCCTCCATCACCTCATGACCTCGTGTTTCAGGTCCGAAAAAGGCATCCTTGTCTTTTCTACTGTCTTCATCGTCAACGTCCTCCTCCTCCCGCTCTTCTGCCTCATCCTCTACCTGGGATACCACCAATGGAGGAAACAGCGTAACGTCCCCACAGCAGCGAAGATGAGTCACTCTGACCTCTTCATCTATCACTCCATCGCCATGCAGCTGAAGGAATTTGTGGGGTTCACCCTCTTCTTTTGCGGGGGCTACACCGATGTCCAAAATACAATGATGGGGGGGCTCTCCATCTTGTCTGTCACCTCACTCGGAGAGGCTCTGTTTCACCTCCTGACCTGTGTGGAGCGCTACATTGCCGTTGTTCACCCAATCGTCTACCGGGAACTGAGACAGACCAAGGCCATCAAGATGAGAAATATCGGCATTGGATGCATTTGGCTGCTGTGCTTCGGATGCATGAGTATATTGTACCTAACCAGGTCCACGTTCAATATGAGCTTGTACTTCTGCATTATGATTTTCTTCTTAACTGTCATCTGTTTTTGCAGCATTTCTGTTCTCCACGCACTCAAACGTCCAGGGCCAGGGGAGGTGTGTGGGAAGAGGGTGCGGATTGACAAATCAAAGCAGAGGGCTTTCCATACCATCACAGCTATACTGGGAGTGCTATTGTTTAGGTTTGTGGGGAACTTGGTTTGCAACGTAATCGAGGGTTCAGTAGTGCAGAAATCTATTAACCTTTGTCTGGTGTTTTTCTCTGCATTCTGGTTCTATCTTCCCAGCAGTGTGGCGTTACCTCTGCTGTTTCTACTCCGGGCAGGAAAACTACAATGTCGTTAAAAAAAAAACAACAAAAAAAACAATCAGGATGAGGATTGGAGACTTTCATATTATAAATTCTCATCAAATCTGGTATTCAAATATGTCAAAAAATAAAAAGCAATAGCAATTAGTGCTTAAATGTTGGAACTGTATCTTGACTAACAGCCTTCTGAGTCACCAAGGGTGATATGGGTACCGTTTTAAGTTTTAAAGGTAGGATAGTCAGAGCCATGGCTACAGTGGTCTTATTGTTGTTTAAAATATGTTGGATTAAAAAGGAATACCTGAAAATCAAGGCAGATACGCCTGGGTTGAAGTGGAGCCAGGAACATATAATATGATGTCATCTGCATAAAAATGGATGTTGCACTAATTTGGACGAATAATGTTATTTATGTATAATTTAAACAGTTATGGACCAAGAACAGATGGCTCGATTCAAGAACATCAGCCACAAGAAACAGTCAACATTTGTCATCTAGACCTAAAGACTTCAGAAAGAAACCAGAGAGAAGCCTGACAGAGGAGATGTGAAACTACATTGAGATGGTTTTTGGTTCTTAAAACCACAAATATATCTTCTTATGAATCAACACTTCAAATAAAAACACAAGAGAAGAGGAAAATACGGGACCTTGTAACTGTGGTTGTTATTGTGCTTTGACCCCTAAAATCTGTGACTGTTGTAAATTCAGTGAGTCAATAAAAGTTTGTAATAAACAATATGTATATACTCATATGTTTGTTTGTTTAACTGCCAATTGTGAATTATGAATGTCCTAAATTTAATAGTAAGTAGTTTCTCAGTCATGAATCTACTGAAAAATGCAAAACCAAAGTAATGTTGTGTTTCCCAAAGCACTCAGGTCACATGTGGGAGCTATTCTCCATTCAAATTACAAAATAAAGACAGATTTGTTGTGAACCTCATGCAAATGTGTGTCTCTCATGTTATCTATGATCAGCTCACAGCTGCAGAGTTGTCAGGCGACTCATTAAAGGTGATGTGGTCATACAGTGGCACAGGGAGTGATCAATTAAAATACCCAAATGGATATAAGGTGTGTGTCTCCATGGAAACTGTAGAATTCTACCGCTGTAAAATCCCTTTCATTGCTGTAAATGCCTCAATGTTTTTCCTTAATAAAGGAAATCTTTTAAGTTATTCTGTGCAACAACCTTAAGTAACTCCCTCAGCTACAGAGAAATTCAACCTCAGGTGTCATACTGAAGTATAAAAGCCCCAGGACTTGATGTTACTTTGTCATTATGAGCCTGCTGACTAACATTTAGCTCAAAGCAGCGCTGCGCCTCACAGAGTCGGTAACATGACTGAAGACTTAAATCACAGCACTACGATCCACTGTGTTTTCAATTCTCATCCGACAGAATAAAGTGAGAGTGTGTAGTCTGACAAAACAAGATTTTATTAGAGCCATCAGTTCCACCAAATTCAAACTCTCACAGTTTTGTTCAAAGAAGAGAAAGTTAAAGGGATGAATTTGAGCTACGTTGCAGCTTCTGCCAGCTGGTGGCTCTTCATGTGTGTTTTCAGACAGTGGCTTTGAGTAAATGCTTTGTCACACCGTGTACATTTGTATGGTCTCTCTCCATTGTGTGTCCTCATGTGAACGGTCAGGTATGTCTTGCGAGCGCACGCCTTCCCACAGATCCCGCAGATAAACGGTTTCGCGCCTGAATGGACCGTCACGTGGTTGTCCAGATTGATCTTGCGTTTGAAGGACCAGCCACAGTCGGGGCAGCGGTACGGTGTCTCTCCGGTGTGGACCCGCATGTGAATGGTCAAGGGTCCCTTGGTGGAGAATCCCTTGCCGCACTCACCGCAGTGGTACGGCTTCTCGTTGGTGTGCGTTCTCATGTGAATCTGCAGCTGCTTGCTCGTCAGGAACATTTTGCAGCAGACGTCGCAGAGGTACGACCTCTCCCTGTCCGTGTGAATCTTCTCGTGTTGTCTGAGTGTGCCGGGAAGTTTGAAACTCCTCCCGCAAACCTGACAGCTGTGAGGTCTTTCTCCAGAGTGGATCATCTTGTGGCGGGATAAAGATCTGTGGTCACTGAGGGATTTCCCACATACGCCACAGAGGTGCGTCTTCTTGCTGGTGTGAATCCTGCGGTGAGCTTTTAACTGTTCCTCCAGCTCAAACACTTTGTGGCAGGTGTAGCATTTGTGAGGCTTACCCTCCTCGTGGAGTTTCTGATGATTCTCCAGGGATGCCATTAATGCAAACGCAGCATGGCAAACATGGCATTTGTATGGTCTCTCCCCAGAGTGGCCAGCCACGTGCTCATTGAGGCTTAGCACGCTGAGGAAAGACTCTCCACATGTGTGACAGTCGTCAGTTTTGTGGTGACTTTGAAGATGATACTTCAACGCCTCCACAGACTCTGGACGTTCCCCACAGACTCCACAAAGACTTCCTGGATCTTCCACGTGACTCCAGGCGTGTTTCACAAAGGTGACTTCTGATTTGTGCAGAGCTCTGCAGACTTTGCAAGAGAAAACAGCATCACTGTTTTCAGTCTTTGTCTTAGGGATCTTGACACCAGAACGTCTGGCTTTTTGTTTCTTGGTCGTCTTCAACTGCAGCTCAGAGTCACTTTCCCTCAGCTCCTCGTCACACTTGTCTGGTTTCCATTCGTCATCACTGTCATTCACCTCTTCTCTTTCTTCTTCCTTTTCATCACCTTCACTAGCATCCCCTTTAGTTTCAGTTGCGGAGCGGGCCACAAAGTCCTGAGCTGGTTGTGTTATCCAGCAATGGTCATCATCAGCTTCCTCTGTCACCACGTCCTGTTGTTGTGATGTTGAGCAGCTGCTACCTTCGACCTCCTGAACTGGGCTGTTGTGGGAAACCAAAGAGAGAATTGAGGGGGTTCACGAGTTGTGTTTAAAGCCTGTCTGATATTACATTTCTGCAAGTAATACTGCATTGTATGGGCAAAAATATGTGGACACCTCTGATAATTAGTGGTTCCAGCAGCTTCAGTCTGGGAACAGGTGCATAAAACCAAGCACACAGCCATGCAATCTCCATTTGAATTACCTTGTTAGTGGCCCAGTTTCATCACATGTCAACATGGCAGCAGTGGATGAAGTGTCCTCAGTGCTGCTGTCTTTTGTCTGCAGAGGATGAATCTCTTCTTCCCTGCCCTCAGTTTCTTTTTGTGCCTAGAAAAATAAAGAGGAGTGATTCCACTTTGCATCTTTAACTTGAAAAACTAGAATTACCGCCTCGTGGTTGTATCCCTCCTCCACTCAGACTAGTTTCAGGTTACAGGAAAACTGGCATGTTTGAATCGAAACGTGAATAAAGGTGAAACCTAGAGAAAACTAGAATCACCTCTTCATGGTTGTCTGCCAACGCCACCCAGACTCATTTCAGATTACATCCCTGTTTATCCAAAGTCATATAAAATATGAACCATTTGTGTGAAATTGTGTCATAATTGCTGTGTGAAGTCTTGAGTTATGGCTAAAAAGTGTTTTCTAAGGTCACCATGACCTTGATCTTTGACCACCAAAACCACCCAAACACCCTCTTCACAACAGCGCTGCAGAACAGAGAGGTTCAGAAGATCTTTTGTTCCCACTGCCATCAGGCTATACAACACCTCAGCCAAAGGAAATGGACTAATTTAATTATTGTTTATCATTTATTTCAACTATTATTACTACTAATGAGCTAATGGACAAATGAATTTCCCCTAGGGGAATAAATTATCTATCCATGCTGTATGTGTGAGCGGAGGGCAGGGGGGCGGGGCTGTTGTTCCAGTGACACACACACACCAGACGATACCCATCCCTAGTGACAAACTACCTTCAGTCTGATGAAGAGAGTTGATGTCGCCCATCCTGCACAACTGATGTTTCTGTGGATCTCCTCCGGCGTCACCGCCTTTAAATTCAGACACTTTAACCTCCGTCTCTTGTTTGACGTTAAGATGTCAAAAGGTTTGTTGTCTCCAGCCAGTTGAGGGAAGGTGGACCTCAGCAGGTCCAAGAAGTCCACCTCCTGCAGACCTCGAGGACACTTCAGCTTCAGCATCGGACATTTCTTAAGAACTGAAAAAGGAGAGACAAGCGCAATGATTAATATTTACAGAAAAGAAAAGTTCTGGGAGTGGTTTAGATCAGAACCTCACCTGATAAAACCAAAACTACCTTTGACTCAATTAAATTTCTTCAGTTTCGATTAAATTTATATTTTTTAGAAGTACCATTTTTTGAAAGTACTTCAGTCTGTGGGTCCTCCAGGATGCGGATCCTGAGGTCCATGTGGTTCTGAGTTTCACTGATCTGAGTTCCGCCATGCTTCCTCTGCTCAAACTGACCTCTGGAGGAAAAAGACCTGAAGATGAAGATTAGAAGCAGGTTAATTACAGAATTCCACAGCTGCCAATATTAAAAAAAATCAATGTAATTACTCAAGAAACTGAGGTTTGTTTACATGATATATTGTTTATATAAATCTCCTGTCTCACTCTCATGTAGACAATATGATAGTGGTAAAAAAAATTGTTTATGTAGGAACCTTGATGGAGTTGATTTATTCCAATCTACCAGGTTCTTCGTGAACTTGTCCTCATCTTCATCCTCCTCTTCATCATGGTAGAGTCTCCTGCTGCGCTTCACACCTGAACAAAAGACAGAAATCAATTTTTTCCACTTCATATTGCTGAAAATGTGTGTGACTGTGAGGGTTTTATTTTGAAACTTTTGAGCAGAAGTGATATTTTTATTCTGTCTCACTGAAACCAACTTGCATAAAAACTGAATGCAAACGAATGTGTCACTATTTTTTATTATTATTATTGTTATCATTATTATTATTGTTATTATTATTATTACTAGTAGTAACATTATTTTGTTATTCCTTACAATAGTAGAACTTGTTGAGTCTGTTAAACATGTTCTATTCTCGACCTGCTGTTAAATCATAACGCAAAAGCAATTTTGCAAAACTCCGTCCGCAAAATAGGCTATTCAAATTTTCCTGTGCTAAAGTTAAATTATGTATGTGAGAAGACATGATTCAACACCCGAACTCAAAAGAGTGGTGTCTTGCCTTAAATTCGGCATGCAAATAAACCACAGAGCAGCAAGACATGTCGGGAAAATAACCCTAAATCTGCGGACTGCGGTGATCAACAGAGCCCGCCACGGCTGAGCGCTGCAGAGAGGAATTCCCACTCGAAAACAGGGGAATATAAAGATCATTTCAAATTTAAGGCTAAATTATGAACTCGTTAGTCGATTGAGGCAAAGCCGATTTAAAGACAAAGTCCCTTTGATTAAGGAACCGTCTTCGTTTTGTAATTTGAAGAATGTAAATTTGTTGATAGCCAGGAAAACATTAAATTACAAGATATTTAAATGTAGTTCGACGTGGCCACTTCCTCTACAAACAGGGACTTTGTGGTTCCTGGATTTAATTTCTTTTTTTTATGCCAGAAAATGAATGACCAACCGGCTTTGATGAGTGTGACCTGAGGCTGCAGGAGAAGCTCCAGCTGTCTCCTCTGCCGGTCGATCTCCTCTCTGAAGCCCGACGCCTCCTCCTCGTACCCGGCTACGAGTCCGTCCACGGCCGCTAAGATTTCCTGGGAGGCGGCGGCGAGTCTCTCAGTAACAAATCCTCTCAGAACCTCGGACTTAGACATTTTACTGCAAGTCTCTGCTGTGTCCGCTGCGTCTCTCCTCATCACGGTTTAAGTATTTTAAGGAAAACGTTAATCCATTTTAGCATTGTTTACTAGCTTGATACTTTTTCCGGTTTGGGTACGTGCATTAATGTCATCCGAGTAGAAACCAAAACCTCATTGCTTTTCTTCAGTGATATTTAACGGCAGTTGGCATAAAAGTAGTTGAATTACCGCCATCTTCCGGATTCAGTCAGCTACTGCATCGTCCCGAGTACCAAACCTGTTTACATCGGATGCTTTCCTATCATATGAAGTGTGCTGGATATTATGATCTTTTGATTGATTGATTGATTGATTGATTGATTGATTGATTGGTTGGTTGGTTGGTTGGTTGGTTGGTTGGTTGGTTGGTTGGTTGGTTGGTTGGTTGGTACCAATAGATAGATAGATAGATAGATAGATAGATAGATAGATAGATAGATAGATAGATAGATAGATAGATAGATAGATAGATAGATATGAAGGCAGCAGTGGGATTCATCACTATGCTTTTCACTCATGTGGCCTCAGCAGGTGCGTTTGCTATATTTCTAACAGACATTTGGAAGAGGTGGTACACTTATGGTTACTGTTAAGTGACTTATTCTACAAGAAAACTTCAGACTTGCAACTTTTTACAGCTTTTTTTTTTTACTTCCTGTTTTCTGTAATTGACTGAAGAACATGTTTTTTTTCCCCATTGACTCAGGTGTTAACTCTCTATTTAGCACAGAAATTAGTAGTTATTAGTAGTTTACATGCCCTTAAATCAATTTATACAAGAACACAGAATATGGTAAGAGTTATTTAAATTTAATTTGAAATTTAAAGTCACTTTAGTTAAATGTATTTGGGAAAACAGAGGAAAAGAGAAAAATTTAAAGTGACTTTAATTGATCATAATGGTTGCGCCTGTATTAAAAGGCTACGTGTCATTCATTGGAAGGATTGTGCTTGCTATTAGCCGAAACTAAGGCTTTTACAGTCACGAAAGTCACAGAGGAAACATTTATGAACAGATATATTTCAGTGTTAAAAATAAATACCTTGAAAGGACAGTCAGTGGCAGCTGCTGTTTATCTCTGTAACAATAGACCCCGTTTCTTCACAATCTTTTCAATGTCCTGATGATGATGATGATGCTGATGAGCCAGAAGATGAAGTATTATTTGTGAAACTTCTACTAAAGTATAACTCCACAGGATGCTCCACATTCTCATTTTAAAGCTTCTGCTATTTCCCCTCTAAAACAAGAAGCTAAAATTACCAATGAATTCACATTATATTAATATGACCTGACGTCGGCACAATCATTATCATTGGCATCGTCATTGTTATTGTCATTGCTTTGGTAGGGACGTCATACACAACAGAAGAGAGTAAGTCAGAAGTTTCTCTTCTCCACATTTTTCCCCATTGTAAATTTCCATTTGAAAGTTTCCATAGTAACCTCAATGTTTCCAGAAGAGAAATATGGTGTCTCCTGGATTATTAAACAGAGCATTGACAAAAGGCTCTTGAATTACAAGCTCAGTCACTTGATGCTTCTTTGGAAGTATAAGTTTTATTCTGTTTTTACATTTGTACATACATAAAAAAGACAACAGAGACATTTGCTAATACAGCTGCTCATCTTTCAACTGGTGGTTCGGCTAGAAGAGTTTCATGTCATCCAAGCCTGAATAGAACAGAAGACAATAAATTAATCGGACTTTTACACAACTCTGTTATTGATAATTCATCTCTTGGTTTTCTATATTTCCACATTTTGAGAAGTACTTCCTCAACATAAGATGATCTTTGTCGTGGTTACAATAATAACAATGAATGGTCGTGGACAATAGAAACAACATAAACTGCTACTTCAACATGGGAATCAAACACCGCTCTCCTGCGTCGTATTCATCCATCCACCACAACCTCCTCCTGACGTGGACTTTGCCTCTGTTTTTACTATGTCACCGCGCTTTTCCCTTTCCATTTGCTCCTGTCATAATTACTTCAACCACTAGATGTCACCTAGCAACAAAATGTAACTATGAGTCATAATAACCTGCTGCACAGACAAACTATGGGCTTGTTTTTTTTTGGGGGGGGGGGGGGTTTACAGGAGGACAGTGTAAACATCCACTTAGTGACTTCATTACATGATGAGCACCATTTATCTGAATAACTAGCCTAGTTTTTATAGAGTTAAGAATTTATTATAGCACAAAATATGCCCAAAAGAAACTGTGCAGTTGTGACATAGATCTTTAACCAAGTCATCTAAGCATCTCCTACGTTTACCAGAATGGTAGAAGATCAGAAAATGATCATATGAGTAATTCTGAAAAGGCACTGACTCATTACCTTTTGTGTTGTTTAGGTGACGGAGACAGACGTTCGAATAACTCCAGCAATTGTTGTTACTTCTGTCTGGAATGTCTTGGAGAGAGCTGTGATATCTGTGAGTTATGTGAAGGCATCATGAGTTAAGTGACCTTGAGGGGCCGGTAAGTTTGTTCACTTTATTATTATTGTATTGATCAAGCTGCAAAATATAATATTAATAAATATATAGTAAGTAAGCAGATCTCCATCCAAAGATTTTTACTTAGTCACTTCACTAATTACCTACACGTGTGCACCTTTCTAAACCATGTCTAATCAATTCAGTTTGCCACAGATGCACTCCAGTGAAGTTCTGGACACATCTCAGGGATAATTAAGGCAAACAGGAATATCCTGACGACAGCAAAGGGTCTAAATACTTCTGTGAATGAGAGATTTCTGCTTTTCATTTTTGAATTGGCAAAACTTTCTAAAAACTGTTTTATCAGTCAAATTAAAGTAAATCTACAAAACAATAATTGGTCTAATTACTTTCTCTTGATTGTGTTTCTTTTGTGGATATAGGTTGTTTGTTACCAGTTCCCAATGTGCCAATATGCTGTTCTCTTGTCTATCTTCCTTGTTGTGTCTTCTATATAACCTGGTGTACAAAACCTCAATCGTAAAACTGACCTATGCTCTGTATTTTAAACATGCTGTAAGGAGCTATTACAACTCAGCATATCCGGCAACTCGGCTTCACTTACTGCTGCAGCCTTCAGTAACATGCTTGTGTTTACATATCTTCATATGTCTTTTGCAGTTTGAACTATAAACAAATCGTTCGGCACAAAAACTGCAACTGAATGGTTTCTCCCCTGTATGAACTTTCATGTGCACATCAAGATCCTCCTGCCGCTTAAATACTTTCCAACAAACATTACAACCAAACGGTCTCTCATGGACTCTCATGTGCGATACGAGGTTCCCTTTTACGTTAAATCTTTTCCCACACACATCACAACCAAACGGTTTCTCTACTGTATGGACTCTCATGTGCGCCTTAAGTTCCCCCTGCGACTTAAATCTTTTCCCACACACATCACAACCGAATGGTTTCTCTCCTGTATGGACTTTCATGTGTCTCTGCAGAACGCACTTTCTGCTGTATTTTTTCTCACACTCAGAGCAGCTGAAAGACTTCTCACCAGTATTACATCCATGGACTTCTTTGCTTTTCAAACCTGACTCAGTTGCTCTGGTTTCCTTCCAATCATCATCACTGTCTTCAGTCTCAGAGGACTCTGTGGCCTCTTCGTCTGTATGTGGTTGATGATGACCATGTGGATCTAAGTTCCTGTCTGGTTCAGATCCTCCACAGTCCTCTCCATCAGTCTCTGTTTCCATCTGTTCAGCTGAGCTGCTGGACGGAGGCTCTGCCTCTCTGCTCTCTTCAGTTCGGCTTCGATGAGGCTGTGAAGACTGAGGTTTCTCCTCATCATCTTCACTCTTCACATGGACAGGAGTGAGTGGGACCTTGGTATCATCAACTTCCTCCAGCCCTGGAAGCTGCTCTCCCTCCTGACTGGTGCAGAGTTCCTCCTGTTCCTCTTTAATGTTTGGGCTCTTTGGTTCCTCCTGATCCAGACTAAGGCTCAACTCAGGGGGAACCTCTTCTTTAATCATCAACAGATGCTGAACATCTGCAGGGAACAATGAAACACACACATTATGAACATTGTTGAACATATCCTGGGGAAATAAAACCACTGGGATCACTCTGCACATTGTTTTTTTGGTTATTGGGCCATTCTGCTGCTTTGTACTCATTTTCTTTTTTGTTTCTTTTGTCCACATATCCCTTGTTATTTCTTTTGCCAGATGATTTTCCTTTGCCTTTACTTTTCTCTACACTTACTATCTTTTATGATACAAGCCAAGCCAGGGATGACATGCGGGCCACGGGTCGCTTCATATAGAACTAAGCCTTTGTGGTATGCGCTCTACCAGGTGAGCCCAGTTCCCATTACATTTATTTTAATTAACTTTTTTAAAATTACCATTTTTTGAAAGTACTTCGGTCTGTGGCTCCTCATGGATGCGGATGCTGAGGTCCATGTGGTCCTGAGTTTCACTGATCTTGGGTCGGCCATGCTTCCTCTGCTTAAACTGACCTCTGGAGGAAAAGGACCTGAAAGATGAAGATTAGCAGCACGTTAATTACAAAAGTAAACACCTGCAAATATGAAAAAATAAATGTAATTACTCAAAAAACTGATATGGCTCCATTGTAATACATAGTAATGACAGCAAAAAGTTAAGTAGGAACCTTGATGGAGTTCTGTTATTCATATCCAGATTCTCGTCATCCTCATCTTCCTCTTCCTCTTCATCGTGGCGGAGTCTCCTGCTGCGCTTCAAACCTGAACAAAAGCCAGAAATCAATTACTTCCACTTCATATTGCTGAAAATGTGTGTGATTGTGAGGGTTTAGTTTTGGAAATTTGGAGCAGAGATGACATGGTCTATTGTACCTCACTGAAAACAACTTTACATAGAAACTGAACACAATGTGTCACTATCATTATTAATATAATTTTATAATATGACAAATTATTCCTACAACAGTGGAACTTACTGAGTCTGTCCAACATGTTCTGCAGTAGCTTGACTAGTTTTTTTTATCCTGAAATTGAAGCAAATCTGCAAAACTCCATCCACAAAATATGATATTCAATTTTCCCTCCCCACTTGTTAAGTCTGTTTGTGAGGAAGACGTGATTAAACACCTGAATCTAAAACACCGGTGTCTAACTGTAAATTCGGCATGCAAATTAACCACACAGCAGCATGATATGTGGGGAAAACAACCATGAATCTGCGGTGATCAACAGCCCACCACAGCTTCGCGCCGCAGAGGACGATTCACTCAGAAACAGAGGAAAATAAAGATCATTTCAAATTAAAATGATGAATTATTAACTCTTATTATAGCAGGGCCGATTTAAAGGGTAAGTCGCCTCGATTAAGGAACCGTCTTGGTTTTTGTAATAACAGGTATGTACATGTGTTGACAGCCCAAGTCAATGTTAAATTACAAGATATTTAAATGTAGTTCGACGCGGCCTCTTCCTTTATAAACTGGGACTTTGTGGTTCCTGGATTCAGATTTTTACGCCAAAAAACGGAATGACCAACCGGTTTTGTTGAGTATGACCCGAGGCTGCAGGAGAACCTCCAGTTGTCTCCTTTGCCGATCGATCTCGTGTCTGAGGCCCGACGCCTCCTCCTCGTACCCGGCTACGAGTCCGTCCACGGCCGCTAAGATTTCCTGGGAGGCGGCGGCGAGTCTCTCAGTAACAAATCCTCTCAGAACCTCGGCTTTCCTCATCACGGTACCTACAGTTTAAGTACTGTATGGAAAGTGATAATACCGCCCAATAATACACTTCCGGTCTGGGTGCGAGCACAAATGTTATCCGAGTAGAAACCGTAAACAAACCGGAAGAGTGCCGGGGAACAACAGTCATTTGTAGGGAGTAAGATTGTCCACGAAACGCGGCGGATTGAAGCGAGACTTGCAGTAAAATGTCTAAGTCCGAGGTTCTGAGAGGATTTGTTACTGAGAGACTCGCCGCCGCCTCCCAGGAAATCTTAGCGGCCGTGGACGGACTCGTAGCCGGGTACGAGGAGGAGGCGTCGGGCTTAAGAAATGAGATCGACCGGCAGAGGAGACTACTGGAGGTTCTCCTGCAGCCTCGGGTCATACTCCACAAAACCGGTTGGTCATTCCGTTTTAGGCGTGAAATGTTGAATCCATGAACCACAAAGTTTCCTCTGTTCCTGAGTGAATCGTCCTCTGCAGCGCGAAGCTGTGGCGGGCTGTTGATCACCGCAGATTCATGGTTGTTTTCCCCACGTGTTGCTGCTCTCTGGTTATGTTGCATGCCAGATGTACGGTTAGACACAGGTGTTTTATGTTCAGGTGTTGTATCATGTCTTCAGCACATACAGACTTTAGCTTTAACAAAGGGAAAATTGAATAGCAAGTTTTCAGGATGGAGTTTTGCAGAGATGCTTCTAATTCAGGATTTAACAACTAGTCAAGCTTTGGCAGAACATGTAGGACAGAACCAGCACGTTCTACTATTGTAGATAATAACAATAGTATTGATACTGTTGATACTGCTTCTAATAATGATGATGGAGAATGATTGTGACACGTTAACTTTTCTCTTTTTTTGTAAAACTTGCTTTAGTGAGCTGGAATAAACAACATAACTTCTGTTCAATAGTTTCAAAATAAAAATACTCAGTCACGCACATTTTCAGCAATCTATAGTGGAAATAATTGATTTCTGCTCTTTGTTCAGGTGGGAAGTGCAGCAGGAGACTCCGCCATGATGAAGAGGACAATGAAGATGAGTACGACAAGAATCTGGATATGAATAACAGAACTCCATCAAGGTTCCTACTTAACTTTTGTTGTCATTATTATTTTGTCCACATGTATACTGGGGGTGCTTGATTCAGAAAATCTCAAGATTCGATTCAAAATTGATTCTCGATTCAAAACACTTATACATTTGAATCCAGGTCCTTTTCCTCCAGAGGTCAGTTAGAGCAGAGGAAGCACAGCGGACCTCAGATCAGTGAAACTCAGAACCACAGGGACCTCAGGATCCGATTCCAGGAGAACCTACAGACTGAAGTACCTTCAAAAAAAGGTAATTTAAAAAGTGAATTAAAATAAATGTAAGGGGAACTGGGGACAATGTTTTATTATTCACACAGGAAAGGTCATCTCTGTCCTTTAAACGCACAGTATGTAACTTCTGCCTCATGAAATAATGTGGGCTCATGGGAGTTTTTGTCTCCATCACCGTCATCTTCTCCCAGTTTTGATTCTTTCAGTGTCCGTTCGTCTGGAAATCAAACAGACCTGGTCATTAGAACTGTAAAAAACAATTAATAAAATAGTTTCACATTTAAAGTCGGTGTTTCACTGACGCTGTACGACGGACAGATTAAAGAAAAAATCTAAATATGAGCCAGTTGTTCAGCAGGTTATTACTGATAGGCCAATTATCCACAGAGGAGTCATCCTCCCCGAAACAAACGGACCAGGGAATGAAAACGGTGGAAAAACCCATGAAACACTTTCACTTTAAGAATCAGTGATTTACCAACACAGTTCAGCGGCTGGGAACTGAGCTGTCTAACAATTACTGAAAATGAAATGTTACACAGAAGGATTTTAATTGCAGAACTTCTTCTAATCAAATATTTTTACGTTGTTGTACTATTACATTTAATGAAGTAAAGGGTCTGAATACTTCTTCTTCCACTGCTGCTTGTTTCCAGAATGAATGCTGCAAATCTGCAAAAGAATCATCACTGCTGTCACTGACATTGAGTAAAGACTATATGAAGTCATAGTTGTTCATAATGTGTGTGTTTCATTGTTCCCTGCAGGTGTTCAGCATCTGTTGATGATTGAAGAAGAGGTTCCCCCTGAGTTGAGCCTTAGTCTGGATCAGGAGGAACCAAAGAGCCCAAACATTAAAGAGGAACAGGAGGAACTCTGGACCAGTCAGGAGGGAGAGCAGCTTCCAGGGCTGGAGGAGGCTGATGGTACCAAGGTCCCACTCACTCCTGTCCATGTGAAGAGTGAAGATGATGAGGAGAAACCTCAGTCTTCACAGCCTCATCGAAGCCGAACTGAAGAGAGCAGAGAGGCAGAGCATCCGTCCAGCAGCTCAGCTGAACAGATGGAAACAGAGGCTGATGGAGAGGACTGTGGAGGATCTGAACCAGACAGGAACTTAGATCCACATGGTCATCTTCAACCAGATACAGATGAACAGGTCACACAGTCCTCCGAGACTGAAGACAGTGACATTGATTGGAAGGAAGTCCACACAGTAGGGAAATCATTTGATTGCAGTGTTTGTGGGAAGAGATTTAAGCGACGGACGGCGTTAACTATGCACACGAGAGTCCATACAGGAGAGAGACCATTTGGTTGTGATGTTTGTGGGAAAAGATTTAAGTGGCGGGGGGTTGTTAAGAGGCACATGAACGTGCATACTGGAGAGAAACCATTTGGTTGCAGTGTTTGTGGTAAGAGATTTAATCGTCGGGAAAACCTTAAAGGGCACACAAGAGTCCACACGAAAGAGAAACTGTTCAGTTGCAGCTTTTGTGGCTATCCATTTACGTGTTCTTCAAACAGGATAAGACACATGGAGACATGTAAACACAAGTTTGTTATTAAGGGCAGCAGCACTTAGTGAAGCTGCAGAGCTGCAGGTTTTACTGAAAAAGCTCATTGCAGCATAATTACAATGGCGAGCATCGCTCACGGTTCACTGTAATATCCTTAGTAATTCTTTATTATCTGTATTTACTTCTATTGTTTATCTGAGTTGTACTTTTGAATACATTTTTTATTAAACTACTATTCCCATTTAATGTAACAAAGTTCTGTAACACCTCAGGTGAATATATTTTTGGTTGTGAAATAAATTCGGAATTTAATATGCATTTGTCTGGTGTATGTTGTTTTGACATTGGCCATTGAGTGAATTTTCTCGTTAAAATATATTGGTCTCTTTTGTCAAAGATTTTAACCTGTTAAGCCCTGAACCTAAAATCTGGATGCTCTGTAGTATTCCTCACCTAGACAGTCGTATCCAAAATAGATGAAGAATAGCTCCAGAACCATCAGGTCCATTTGCACGAGCTGGGTCAGTACGGATAGGTAAGACCTCAGAGAAGTTATTCCATGTGTCAGTAACATAGTGACTGTTACAACAGCTGAGTAAACTGTGATAAACCAAAGGAAAAATTATATTTTTTTTCCTCACCTAGAATTTATTTTATATCAAACAATGGATACCACCATGACAACAATGGTCCCATGCACTGGGATGGTTTCATTCAGCAACTTCATGACTACAACTCTAACAATGTAGCTAGAAATTCACCAAAGCTTCTAGTAGGAACGGGGCCAGACTGTCTCTCCATTTGGACACTTGGATAGTCAAGGGACCCAAACTGCCAAAATTGCTATATTATGTTGATTCTACTTCGTAGACATTGTAAAAGTGAAAAATAAACATTAAACTTTCTATATACAAAGTTGAATCTGTTGTGCGTCGCGTGTAAAATCCTAATCTGTGCTGAAAGTCTCTGGTACTTATACACGGGTGTAGTATTGCGAGAAGCCAAGTCTCATAGGAGTGTGACACACCGTTCGAAACCTCGCGAGATGCAGAAAATGATGGCACTGAACCTGTCTGTGAAATCACTGGTGTCTTTACTGAATGTCAATGAGATCAGTGATGATACTTGCAGATTTTCAGTTGGAGGTTTACTTTATTTAAGAATATAACAATGTAAAAATTCTTTATTACAAATACTAATACTTCATTTACAATCCTACTTAAATAGAAGTAAAAAAGTATCATCAGCTAAATGCATAAAATATTTCCTTTGGACTCTCCTCTGAATTGAGAGAGAACTGCAACAGCCTTCACCCAATAACTTTATTCTAATTCAGAATAAACAAACTATTTATTTCTCTAACAAAAATACATGAACTCAGACTGTCACAATGAAAAAGGAATTTAGTATACAGCTTCAAATATTCAAAAGTACAGATGTGAGAAATGATAAAAACCAGTTCAACTATAAAAGAAAATACAAATGTGAAAGAGCGACATCAAATATTACAGTTAATTGTCAATATGCTTTCATGCAAACTTCAACTTCAAGTAAACGCAACTTAAATTCAGCATTTCAATGATGCTGTGATGAGCTCTTCCAGTTCAGTTCAACCAGCAACTATGAAAACTTCAGTTCCTGCTGCTGCCCTCAGTAACATACTTGAGTTTGTGTGGCAAGCAATTTTTAAGTTATACAAACAGTAAGTGATCGGTTTCTCCCCTTTATGGATTATCATGTGCCTCATAACGCTCCCCTAAGACTTACATGTTCTCTCGCAAAACACTGCAGCGAAATGGTTTCTCATCATGTGCTCCTTCAGGTGCTGCTGTCGGTTATATCTTTTCCTGCAAGCAGCGCAACCATATGGTTTCTCTCCAGTATGTTTTCTGATGTGCACCTTAAGGTTCCTCTGCGACTTAAATCACTGGTGTCTTTACTGAATGTCAGTGAAATCAGTGATGATTCTTGCAGATTTGCAGTTGGAGGTTCATTGGGACACAAACAACAGTGGAGGAAGAGGTAGTCTCTACTTTATTAAAAGTAATAGCATATGTGATTACAAGTTCTAACACTGCATTTAAAATCTAACTTAAAAAAAAGTAAAAAGTATCATCAGCTAAATGTATAAAATATTTTCTTTGGATTCTCCTCTTGATTGAGAGAGAACTGCAAAAGCCTTCACCCAATAACTTTATTCTAATTCAGAATAACAAAAACACATGAACTCAGACTGTCACATGAAAAAGTAATTCAGTATACAGTTTCAAACGTGAGCAATGATGAAACCCAGTTACAAAATAAAAGAAAATAAAAATGCGTTACTAATGGCATCAAATATCACGGTCAACTCTTCTACAAACTTCAACAGGAACTCAGCATTGGGATGATGCTGTGATGAGCTCTTCCACTTCAGCTTCAGTAACACGCCTGACTTTACATGTCTCCTCATGCTTCTTGAAGTTTGACCAATACGTGAATGGTCTGCTGCAAAAGCTGCAACTAAACACTTTCTCTCGTGTATGGATTACCATGTGCCTCTTATGATGACTCTTTCGCTTGAATTTTTCTCCACACACATCACAAACAAATGGACTTTCTCCTGTGTGGATTTTCATGTGCCTCGTACGATGAATCGTTCGCTTAAATCTTTCCCCACACACATCACAAGCAAACGGTTTTTCTCCTGTGTGGATTTTCATGTGCCTCTTGTGAGTCATATAGTGCTTAAATGTTCTCCTGCACACATCACAACTAAACGGTCTCTCTCCTGAATGGACTCTCATGTGGCCCATAAGGTTCCCCTTCGACTTAAATCCTCTTCCACAAACATCACATCTAAACGGTTTCTCTACTGAATGGACTCTCATGTGGCCAATGAGGCACCACTTTGCCCTAAATTCTTTCCCACAAATATCACAACTAAATGGTTTCTCTCCCGTATGGACTTTCATGTGGCAGAAAAGGTATCCCCTCGACTTAAATCTTCTCCCACAAATATCACAACCAAACGGTCTCTCCCCTCTATGGACTTTCATGTGCTTCTTACGATGAATCTTTCGCCTAAAACGTTCCCCACATACATCACAACCGAATGGTTTCTCTGCTGAATGTATTTTCATGTGTATCTGCAGAATCCGCATTCTTCTCATTTTTTTCCCACACTCAGGGCAGCTGTAAGGCTTCACATCAGAGTTACATCCTGTATCACTTACATGGACTTCTTTACTTTTCAAACCTGACTCAGGGTCACTGTCTTCAGTCTCGGAGGACTCTGAGACCAGTTCATCTGTGTCTGGTTGAAGATGACCATGTGGATCTAAGTTCCTGTCTGGTTCAGATCCTCCACAGTCCTCTCCATCAGCCTCTGTTTCCATCTGTTCAGCTGAGCTGCTGGACGGAGGCTCTGCCTCTCTGCTCTCTTCAGTTCGGCTTCGATGAGGCTGTGAAGACTGAGGTTTCTCCTCATCATCTTCATTCTTCACATGGACAGGAGTGAGTGGGACCTTGGTACCATCAGCTTCCTCCAGCCCTGGAAGCTGCTCTCCCTCCTGACTGGTCCAGAGTTCCTCCGGTTCCTCTTTAATGTTTGGGCTCTTTGGTTCCTCTTGATCCAGACTAAGGCTCAACTCAGGGGGAACCTCTTCTTCAATCATCAACAGATGCTGAACATCTGCAGGGAACAATGAAACACACACATTATGGACAACTGTGACTTCATATAGTCTTTACTCAATGTCAGTGACATCAGTGATGATTCTTTTGCAGATTTGCAGCATTCATTCTGGAAACAAGCAGCAGTGGAAGAAGAAGTATTCAGACCCTTTACTTCATTGAGATTAGTAGTACAACAACGTAAAAATATTTGATTTCAAGTGCTGTATTTAAAACTCAATTCAAGAAAAAGCACACAAGTATCAGCTAAATGTACCTACATATCTTCTTCAGACTCTCCCCTGGATTTAAAAAGACACTGCAACATGTATGACCCAGTGTTTCAAAATAATACAATATTGAACTGTTACAAATTGTTTAGCCAGTAACCAAAAGTGCCAGAGATGGTCTACCCCAAGTTAAACATTAAAATCTAAATGGACCCTCTGCTCCACCAAACAGACACTGTTAAAGAGCAGCCGGTGAACATACTGCAGCATTTAGCAGCTAATGAGCCACATCTTTCCCTCAAGAGTTGGTGGAGACCAAAAATTGAGTTAAATGAGAGTAGTGGCATCAGTTTCAAACAAACTACATTATAAAGCAACTGCTTCATATTAGTAATGAAACAAATCTGAATGGCTTTTCTGACAGTATGAACCCTGCACCACTCCTGCTAAAGCACCTTTATCATCCTGTCATTATGGTGCAGAATGAATTCCGGTTAGAATCAAACTCTTAACATTACAATGTTCAAAAGCAAAAGAGATGAAAAACATTGTAAACTTGAAAATACACTAAATGGCCAATGTCAAAAAAATATACAGTTTTTCAGACAGAAAAAAAAACCCAAATTCATTGTAAATTAAATCTGAATTTATTTCAAACAATTATATTTACTCAAGCTGTCACAAAATTTCTTTACCTTAAATGGGAATACTAATTAAAGCTACACAATTAATCAGAATTTTTTCAAAATCCCATAATGTCCAAGTGCAATATCAAAAACGAAGGTACTACAATTTTTTGATCAAGATGAAATGTGTCACAACATTTTTGTGTAGTAAAGGAAAATGTTTCGTTGATACAAAGCTCAACAAAAATCTATGTAACAATATTACAGCCACATGTGAATCTTTTTTTTTTTTTTTTTTTAATTCTGACTTTAAACTCAGAATTCTGCAGAAAAAAAGAAATACATGTGGCCCTAATTCTCTTCCATAAAAATCACATCATCATTTTACATTTTTTTCAGGAAAAATTAAATGCAAAAACAAAAATTTCAATTGAAATGACAATATCTGCCAAAATAATGGCAATGAGATTTTTTTTTTTTTTTGGTATATTGTGCAGCCCTAATAGTAATTTAGTATACATTTTCAAATATTCAAGAATATAAATGTAAGAGAGGGCAAAACTCACTTAAAACAAAAAGAAAATACAAGTGTGCAAGAATTAATAAAAATGTTACAGTTCACTTGAGTAACACACAAAAACTATGCTATTCCAGTTCAGTTCAACCAGCAACTCTGCAGCTTCAGTTACTACTGCTGCCCGCAGTAACATGTTTGCATTTACATCTCTTCAAGTGATTTTGCCTGTTTGTATAACTTATGAATTGCTTGCCACACAAACAGCAACTAAACGGTTTCTCTCCTGTATGAACTCTTATGTGCACCTTAAGGTCTGTCTGCCGCTTAAATGTTTTTCCACAAACATCACAAGCATAGGGCTTCTCTCCTGTATGGACTCTCATGTGGACCTTAACATAATCCCGCCGGTTGAATTTTTTCCCACAAACGTCACAACCAAACCGTTTCCCTCCTAAATGGACTTTCATGTGCACCTTAAGATAACTCTGCCGGTTAAATGTTTTCCCACAAACATCACAACCAAACGGTTTCTCCTCTATATGGTTTCTCCTGTGCGTTGCAAGGTTCCCTTTTACCTTAAATCTTTTCCCACAAACATCACAAACAAACGGTTTCTCTTCTGTATGTATTTTCATGTGGAGTTTAACTGCCGACTGCTGCTTAAATTTTTTCCCACAAACATCACAATCAAACGGTTTCTCTTCTGTATGGACTTTCTTGTGGACATTAAGTTCAGACTGCCGCTTAAATGTTTTCCCACAAACATCACAACCACATGGTCTCTCTCCTGTATGGAATCTGATGTGCAGCTTAAGATAGTCATGTCTGTGAAATCTTTTTCCACAATCATTACAACCAAACGGTTTCTCTCCTGTATGCACTCTCATGTGTGTCCGCATAACCCACTTCGTGGTAAATCTTTTCCCACACTCAGAGCAGCTGAAAGGCTTCTCACTAGTTTTAAATCCTGTATCACTAACGTGGACCTTATTAATTTTCAAACCTGACTCAGGTGCTCTGGTTTCCTTCCAATCAACGTCACTGTCTTCAGTCTCGGAGGACTCTGAGACCAGTTCATCTGTATCTGGTTGAAGATGACCATGTGGATCTAAGTTCCTGTCTGGTTCAGATCCTCCACAGTCCTCTCCATCAGCCTCTGTTTCCATCTGTTCAGCTGAGCTGCTGGACGGAGGCTCTGCCTCTCTGCTCTCTTCAGTTCGGCTTCGATGAGGCTGTGAAGACTGAGGTTTCTCCTCATCATCTTCATTCTTCACATGGACAGGAGTGAGTGGGACCTTGGTACCATCAGCTTCCTCCAGCCCTGGAAGCTGCTCTCCCTCCTGACTGGTCCAGAGTTCCTCCTGTTCCTCTTTAATGTATGGGCTCCCTGGGTCCTCCTGATCCAGACAGGGGCTCAACTCAAGGGGAACCTCTTCTTTAATCATCAACAGATGCTGAACATCTGCAGGGAACAATGAAACACACACATTATGAAAAACGGTGTCTTCATATTGTCACTGATATCACTGGTGTCTTTACTGAACCCTCCATTTTCTTCTCTGTGGACACCAACAGCATTTCCTGCAGCAGTGAAGGGATGATACTTTTTCAGTCTGCAGATGACGTGGCATCAGTGCTCTGTCTGAAAACAATCAGGCTGTAAACAACCTGGTCTGGACATTTTAGAAAAACTCTCTCAAGCTCAACCTCACCAAAACTCAGGAGCTGTGCTGTAAGAGCAGAGAAAAAAACAGACCCACAACAACCACAATTTAACCATTCAGTTATTTTTTCAGTAACTATGCACACCAACGTTTTATTAATTCAGATTCACCAGCATCGTAAACCAGCAAGACGGCAAAGTGGTGGTGAGTCCCTATACTGAAGGGGTTGTGAAGTCCGACTGTCCATTCCTCAATTATTTATATTCCTTTAGTCCAGAACATTCCACAGATCGCAAAAGCCAGAAGGGTATTTTAAGTTTTCCAAGTCATTAATATCGTCAAGTGAAGTCTATTGCAGACTGCCAAACGTCTTTATTCACAGCACTTCTCTCCATATCTCTGCCAATTCCTTCCTTCAGGCTGCCTGGCAGTGGGTAGGCTTGGTCAGGGTTTTTCCTCCAAAAAGAATTGCGAGGCAGCCGCCTCCATCAAATTTCGCGCCACCTCAGTCTCCCGCCAAATTCTAGTACTTGTTTTCTCGGTACTCTTTGTTTATAACTGCAATTGCAGCTGCACGTCGCTACGGCAATGTAGTGGCGCTGTATCATAATCCGTGCATCAGGCAGAGCCATGCGAAACTGCCAAAGAAGAAGAATACGAACACGCTGGGTTTTCTGCCTGCGGAAGGAGGTGGCCACCGATCAAACAGGTGAATAGGGTTGCCACCCATCCCGTATAATACGGGATTGTCCGGCATTTGAAAATAAAATGATTCTAGTACTTGTTTTATCGGTACTCGGTGGATTTGAATCAATACAGGATGCAATTTGTCCTGTATTTTCGTTCATGTTATCGCCTCAAAGTGCTGTGAATAATGTTAACCAGTTGCCACCTTTTTTCACATAAAAAGGTGGCAACTATGGCTCAAACTGATTGGGCAGCACCAATGCCATTGTAACAGTGAACCATTTGTTTACAGTAAGACATGGGTGGTAATTGTAGTTGTAGTCATCTGGTCAATGATTCAGGTGAACTGACCCTTTAGAGTTATAATATGTAACTTTTCCACATTAACATGTCTCAAAATGACTACACCTATGTTATATATTTTGTAGTTGTGACCTTACATTATCCCAAATGTTTCCAGCAATTCTCAAACCTAGAGAAATACATCATTTTAATATGGCAAAGCTCTGTGTCATTTGGTCGCTTGTCAATGACATCACATCCGCTATGATCATGGGTTTGTGTCGTGGTTGCCTTCAGAAGCTCAAAATTTACTTTTATTTAGTTTTAAAGCTGGAGTAGGTAATCTGGGAGATGTAAGCCTGAGTTAGCTAGATTTTGAAAGTATCCTCCAACATCTTCCCTTCAGACATCCCTCCAAGGCCTCTCCCCAAAAACACACAAATGCGCACTGCACGAGTGGACAAGAGAGAGAGCGGAGCGGAACGTAGCGGTGATTGTCATTGTGATATCCCAATACGGAGTGACATTCACAAGTAAGAAAACATACACTCACCAGCCACGTTATCAGGTACACCTGTTCAACTGCTTTACGCAAATGTCCAACAGGCCAATCACATGGCAGCAACTCAATGCATTTAGGCATGTAGACATGGTCAACACGATCTGCTGAAGTTCAAACCAAGCATCAGAATAGGGAAGAAAGGTGACTTTGAATGTGGCATTGTTGTTGGTGCCAGTCAGGCTAGTCTGAGTATTTCAGAAACTGCTGATCTACTGGGACTTTCAAGCACAGCCATCTTTAGGATTTACAGAGAACGGTCCGAAAAAGAGAAAATATCCAGTGAGCGGCAGTTCTAAGGGTGAAAATGCCTTGTTGATGCCAGAGGTCAGAGGAGAATGGCCAGACTGGTTTGAGCTGATAGAAAAGCAACAGTAACTCAAATCTCGTTACAACCGAGGTAAGCAGAAGAGCATCTCTGAACGCACAACATGTCGAACCTTGAAGCAGATGGGCGACAGCAGCAGAAGACCACACTGGGAGCCACTCCTGTCAGCTAAGAACAGGAAACTGAGGCTACAGTTCACACGGGCTCACCAACATTGTACCATAGAAGATTGGAAAAACATTGCCTGGTCTGATGAGACTGGATTTCTGCTATGACATTCAGATGGTAGGGTCAGAATTTGGCATGAAAGCATGAATCCATCCTGCCTTGTATCAACGGTTCAGGCTGGTGGTGGTGGTGTAATGATGTGGGGGATATTTTCTTGGCACACTTTGGGCCCCTTAGTAACAAATGAGCATCGTTCAAATGCCATAGCCTACCTGAGTATTGTTGCTGACCATGTCCATCCCTTTATGACCACGGTGTACCCATCTTCTGATGGCTTCTTCCAGCAGGATAACACACCATGACATCACAAAGCTCAAATCATCTCAAACTGGTTTGTTGATTATGACAGTGAGTTCACTGTACTCAAATGGCCTCGACAGTCACTAGATCTCAATCCAATAGAGCACCTTTGAGATGTAACGGGAACAGGAGATGCGCATCATGGATAGGCAACTGACAAATCATCAGCAACTGTGTGATGCTATCATGTCAATATGGACCAACTGAATCTATGCCACAAAGAATAAAAGAAGTCAAAAGGGGGCCCAAGCCGGTACTAGAAAGGTGTACCTAATAAAGTGGCCAGTGAGTGTATAAGATTACCGTAATGAATGTAAACAACCAACAAGACTGTTACTCACTGCTGTCAAGTTAGTATGTTTGGTAATTTATAGTGGAAATACAGTTAGATGCAATAACTTATCGCTGGCTAGCTAGAAGCCACATGCGGTAAGGTTATATATCAGGCAAAGCTAGAGACATCAACAGAGTTAGCTACACTATTAATACTAAGTTAGCTATACTACTAGTACAGCTAACGTTTCTTTTGAACCTGCTGCTTTGAAGCTGCATGTCTATGAAAAAACATTGCATCACCTGCTGCAGCTCTGTCTGAGCTCTGTGACCCAAACTTGGTGTTTGGTATGTTACAAATGACATCAGCAGATGCTCCTCAACCAGGACCTTCGGTTACAGGTCTTTCTACCTGATGCATTAGCCAGAAATGTCCACACATGTGTAAGGTACAACACAACATCACAAGCCCTGTGTTTTCATGCTGCCACAAAGGGAATCATATACAGAACCATTCAAGAGTTTGTGAAAGTGTGTACAAACTTTTGACTGGTACTGTATCAAGTATTTTGCTGTCCCTTTTCCCAGGAGAATACCAAGTATTATTTTTTCTTTTTATACATTACTTGTGTAAATATTCAAATTTGTATTTTATTATTTTGCATTCTTCTTTATATGAACAATCTGTTCTGACTTTTTTGAATGCCTTTTTCCTTACACTTACAGCATAAACAGTGAAGCCAATTCATTTACTATCTCTTTGTATGCTACACAAAAAATACAAATCCAATGTGGTATGAAACTTGTTTATTGTATTTTTATGGACTGAGATACTTTTAACAATACAAAATATATACACAATGTATCATTGCCATACACAATATATTTACTGTTGATTATAGGCAGAGGTGAGTGTTGGATGACGGGTCAGTATGTGGCATCATGTGGGCACTGTGGTTATCTTCTTCTGCAATGACAGCGATTGCCTTTTAGAAAGAATCATCACAATTAGCCATTCACTCAACAATGATGACATTTAGATAATTAGATCTAAATCTCTTTACAGGATGTATATCACACAGGACTATTGCTACATAGAAATAAAAGTCTACGGTTATTTTTGCTGAGAGGAAGTTGGTTTAATGGGTATAAAATACTTATTTGAAAGGGTTGGTTAGTGCATTAAGTGTGAGCAGTTATGGACAGTGTTTCCCATATTTTTGTGTGGCTGACAGACACAGATACACAAATCATCAATTCAATGATATTTTTCTAATATGATAAATGGTCTCAACTTGTAGGCTAAAGTAGGACTGCATGAACCAATATTGTGAGGAGCACCCTCATGTATGTGTAACAAAAAAACTACACAAGACAGGAGGGTGCATTTACATGAATAGTGGTCTAAACAATTACACCGACCTAACACCATCTTAAAAACTTTGTACATTTGTAAACGCGTCGACAATGGCCTGATTCGTAGCAGTTTGAAGGGCTGAGCTACTTCTCAGTCACATAAAGTTGCACTCACAGCTGGGAGAGAAACTGAAATGGCGGAGGTGGAGTGGGGGTGGTGGTCTCATCAATCCGCGTTTTAAAAAAGGTGTGGAGGTTGAGTCTTTCTCACAACTAAAAAAAACACAAAACACAAAGTCCCATTCGCAGCTGTTACAGACAAAGATAAAGACTATCAAACGACATCTGCTCACAACCACACTGCAGACATTGCCAAACATATAGGCTGCACAGATTACATACAAGGCAACGTTATGTGTAAACATAGCTACACTGTCTACTAGCATAGCTGACGTTGCTTGCACCCATTGCGTTATCTAATGTTAGCTTTGGCTAATACATAAAACATAGGTTGGTTTATGATTAAATAGCCAAAACAACTTATGAAGCAGGTATTTACACCCCGCCCCCCTCCCCTCCACAAACCAAAACAAACAACATAATTACCTGTATAACAGAAATACAGCCACAATCGAGTCACTTTTTATCAAGTCTTTTACTCAGTTGTCGCCATCAAGCTACGTCAGTGTTGATTCTTGCATTGTCAAATTTTATTTTTGTTGCAGCTTTTTCTGCTTCCGTCTTCCTTTTACGAGTGAAGCTGCTGATGAAGTCCAGGCCTTAGGTGGAACTGGTTGAACTTTCTCTGCCATTCCTGTGCGTCTTCTTCCTTTTCTTCACCCGCAACTGCCACTTGTCTGACACGGCAGCAGCTCGGTGATGCAATGCAGCAGTAAGCGCGAGTGCACGGCCAGAGTATGCGCAGTCATGCTAGTGAGGTTGACAGACGGGTAGGCCAGCCAATCATTACATCCAGGCTGAACACAATGATTGACCGGAGTTTTTACAGCCCGGTAATTGACACTGTTTATTGTCAGAGCATTTAATTTGTTCATTGTTATCAGGCTATTAAGAGAATTTAAAGAAATATAACAAAAAGTGTTTCTGAAAAACATTACCTACTCCATCTTTCAACTTTTTTACGTTTTTTTACACCTTGGTCGTTTTCATCTATATATTTTAACCACTTCGAGGATTTTTGTCATCGGACATCTGGATCTTAAGTTATCAGAGAGAAAAGCTGAGAAATGTCAGACAGCTCAACTCCCAGCCACTGGAGACGTCCAGTCCTGTGTCCACTGAACTGTGTCTGTGAATCACAGATTTTTAAGGTTAGACTACTTTATTCGTTTACTGGTTTTAAACCCCTGGTCCATTTGTTATGGAGAGGAGGACGACTCTGCACATAATTCAGTTGCTGGTAAACACCTGTTGGACATCTGGGCCTGTATTCACAAAGCATCTTAAGGCTAAAAGAAGCTCCTAACTTGCAGATTTAGGAGAAACTCCTAAAAATAATGGCTGTGTCAGTCCTAACTTTAGGACTCCTCATTTTTCTGACTAAGAGAGATTCATAAAGCTACTTCGCTCTAAAAAGCAGCTCCTAAGTCTGGAAGAAGTTAAAAGCAGTCAAGAGGACTCCTAACTAACTAAGACCAAATCACAGAGAATCATCAAGGGCTGCTGTCAGTCCACGTCGCAGTGTTTTGGAAACCATACATGATGCTGAATTACTTAAAAGATACGACTCAATCATGAGTCACTTACAATTCTTTGAATTTGATTTTTAAAATTACCATTTTTTGAAAGTACTTCAGGCTGTTGCTCCTCCAGGATGAGCATCCTGAGGTCCATGTGGTTCTGAACTTCACTGATCTGATGTCCGCTGTGCTTCCCCAGCTCAAACTGACCTCTGGAGGAAAAAAAGTGAATATGAAATCAGTTTTTGTAATTACAAAGGGCAAGCTAAAGTTCAACTGGACTTCTGCAAATTAATGGTTTCCTGATTCAAATGACCATTTTCATTACAACATTAATTAAAGTAAGTATAGGAAACTATGATTTCTGTTTTAACTTTAGCAGCTGTAATATCGACTTAATACATCAATGTGAGTGGGCTGTAGTCCTTTTGGTTTCAAGTCACTCAGCTTTATACAATAAAAATGTGTCTGATAATATTTGGTCTAGACATTAATTTAAATCAGCATTGATACTTTTTCAACACAGTAAATCACACAGCATTACACCTGCAATTATACAGTTTTAAAGGGAAAAGTATATACATATGTATACATATACATACAAAATAATAATGACAACAAAAGTTAAGTAGGAACCTTGATGGAGTTCTGTTATTCATATCCAGATTCTTGTCATACTCATCTTCATTATCCTCTTCATCATGGCGGAGTCTCCTGCTGCACTTCACACCTGAACAAAAGCCAGAAATCAATTATTTCCACTTCATATTATTGAAAATGTGTGACTACAGAGGCTTTATTTTGAAATTATTGAGCAAAAGTAATGCGTTTATTCTAGCTGACTGAAACCAATTTTACATAAAAATGAAACAAGTTAACGTGTCACAATCATTTTCCATCATCATTATTAGTAGCAGTATCAACTGTATCAATACTATTGTTATTATCTATAATAGTAGAACGTGCTGGTTCTGTCCTACATGTTCTGCCAAAGCTTGACTAGTTGTTAAATCCTGAATTAGAAGCATCTCTGCAAAACTCCATCCTGAAAACTTGCTATTCAATTTTCCCTTTGTTAAAGCTAAAGTCTGTATGTGCTGAAGACATGATACAACACCTGAACATAAAACACCTGTGTCTAACCGTACATCTGGCATGCAACATAACCAGAGAGCAGCAACACGTGGGGAAAACAACCATGAATCTGCGGTGATCAACAGCCCGCCACAGCTTCGCGCTGCAGAGGACGATTCACTCAGAAACAGAGGAAAATAAAGATCATTTCAAATTAAAAAGCTAAATGATGAACTTGTTAGTCAATGACATCAAGGCGGATTTAAAGAGCAACTCGCCTCGATTAAGGAACCGTCTTAGATTTTGTAATTACGGGTAGGCCTATTCATATTTGTCGAAAGCCAAGTAAATGTTAAATTACAAGATATTTAAATGTAGTTCGACGCGGCCTCTTCCTCTACACACCGGGACTTTGTGGTTCCTGGATTTAAAAGTTTACGCCTAAAACGGAATGACCAACCGGTTTTGTTGAGTATGACCCGAGGCTGCAGGAGAACCTCCAGTAGTCTCCTCTGCCGGTCGATCTCCTGTCTGAAGCCCGACGCCTCCTCCTCGTACCCGGCTACGAGTCCGTCCACGGCCGCTAAGATTTCCTGGGAGGCGGCGGCGAGTCTCTCAGTAACAAATCCTCTCAGAACCTCGGACTTAGACATTTTACTGCAAGTCTCGCTTCAATCCGCCGCGTGTCGTGGACAATCTTACTCCCTACAAATGACTGTTGTTTCGCAGCGTGGCCCTTTTCCGGTTTGAGTACGTGCTTTAATGGCATCCGAGTAGAAACAAGACCATCGCTAAGCGTTACCTTTCCTTTTTCTTTCAGCATCAAATGTTCTGTAAACGACAGATGTCGCACTAGACCACTAGCACCGGCAGATTTATGTCATTATTATTAAAACACACACACATTTGGCCCCAATCTCCTTCCATACAAACCTGACACACCTGGATATGTACTGAGAACTTGTTGGGAACTCTTGTGCAGTGAAATAACCATTACTTTCATATGGTATAGGGTTAGAGAGATGCTGGTGGTCTAGTGCCATATCTACTGGCAGTGACGAGCGTTTGAACCTTAAAGGATGAAAGGAAAAGGAAAGCCTGTACGTAACCTATAGTTACCGTGATGAGGAGAGACGCAGGGGACACAGCACACAAGCCGGTTTGTCATTCCGTTTTAGGCGTAAAATTTAAACCACAAAGTGGCTGCGTCGAACTACATTCACATGTCTGTTATTTAACCATTACTTGTCTATCTATCAATTTTCATACCTGATGTTTGAAAGAGTTAGACGGTTCTTTAATTAAGGTGAGCTACTCTTTAAATCAGCTTTACTGTAATTGACTAACGAGTTAATGATTGAGCTTTTTGATTTAAAATTATTCCTGTATTCCTCTTTTTCGAGTGCGACACCCTCTGCAGCGCTGCAGCTGTGGCGGGTTGTTTATCGCCGAAGTCCGCAGATTTAGGGTTATTTTCCCGACATGTCTTGCTGCTCTATGGTTATGTTACATGCCGAATTTACGGGTAGACACCAGTGTTTTGTGTTCAAGTTTTGGATCATGTCAATTACAGGCATTAATTTTAACATAGGAAAAATTGAATAGCAATAGCAATTCAGGATTCCCCACAGTTCAGCTATGGCAGAACATGTTGGACTCAACAAGTTCTACTGTACTAAAGAATAACAATAGTATTGATATTACTCATACTACCACTAATGATTTTGATGATAATAAAAATAAAAAAATTAATATAGTGATTAGTGACACATTAATTTGTGTTTAATTTGAACATACAATTGGCTTTAGTGAGCTACAATAAAATACCACTTATAAAACACTAAAACACTGACAATCACACACATGTTCAGCAATATAAATGGAAATAATTGATTCGGATCAGGAGAATCCACCATGATGAAGAGGAATATGAAGATTTGGACGACGAGGATCCGGATATGAATAACGGAACTCATTAAAGTTCCTACTTAACTTTTGTTATCAATATTATTTTGTCTATATATATTCATAGTATATGAAAATTTATAATTAATTTTTAAAAAATCAAATAAAAATAAATCCAATGTAAACTGATGAAAGAGTTTTATTATTCACAAAGGAAAGGTTATCTCCGTCCTATACATCTGGTTTAAAGAATCAAACCAAAACGTTGTCCAGATGATACAAAAAATTACTTTGACTTGTAACATAAAAGATAGTATGTGTAGATAAAAGGAAAATCTTGGGGATAGAGACATAACAAAGATACAAAAACAACAAAGTGGAAAATAATTGCAAAAATGGCAGAAAACCAAAGCATATTGTGTAAAGTGATCACAGTGGTTTTATTTCCTGGGGAGATGTCACATCTTCTCCCTCTGTCGAAACTGGAGAAGTGAGTAACTTTCTTTAGAACTTCTGAATTGTTTAATCTAGAGTTTACTCACAAAAACCACATATCTGGCCTTCTGCCAAGACCCAATAAAACATTAGAGAGGACACATTATGGCCATTTTTATTGTTCATCATTTTGTCCCTGGTGTCTGCTAAAATAGATTCACAAACTTCAGCACAGTGCTCTTTAAGCCTCCCATCACCCCCCTGAAGCTGACCAATCAGAGCCCTGAGTCTGCTGATTAGTCAGCTTGCTAGCAACTACACTTTCCACCCATGTCTTGCTGTAAACAATGGCATTGTTACAGTGCCATTGATGCTGCCTAATCAGTTTCAGCCACACTCCTATCTTGAAGAATATCATCGACCTGATCCACCTTCACGAGCTGGACTGGAGCAGGAAAACAAGCATACCCACTGCCAGGTAGCATGAAGGAGGGAAATGGCAGAAATGTGGAGAGAGGTATTATGAATAAAGATGCTTGACAGTCTGACTTCACATAACAATATTCATAACTTGGAAAACTTTTGTTACAAAACCCTTCTGGCTTCTGTGATCTGAGCAGAGAACCCTATAAACCACAGTGACGTAATGGAACTCTAAGTAATGTTAGTGAAACTTAACTAAATAAGGCAGGAATCGCCTTTATCTGCCTTAATGGATTAGGGCCCAGATAAACTAAGGATTATTCGAGTTGATAACAACTATAACTGAACTTGTCTGTGAGTGTAATAAAAAATCAAAAGCCATCAGTTCTTTATCAAACATCCTGATTAACAAGCAACAAACAGAAAAAAAAGATATTTTCATCTATTTCATCCACTGTCCGTGTCTATTTTTATACACAACAACATCGCATTGGTTAACCTAAAAATTAATCGTTATGGCCAACCGCTGAATTCTTCTTTCGAAAACTGGTCCATGGAGAAAAAAAAACTTGTGTTTCCCTTTCATACAAACTTAAACACTAATGCTCCTCCAGTTCAGTTCAACCAGCAACCCTGTACCTTCAGTTAATGCTGCTGCCCTCAGTAACATGCTTGTGTTTACATGTTGTCTTATGTTTATTGCAGTTTGAACTGGACTTAAACTGTTTCCCACAAAAACTGCAACTAAATGGTTTTTCTTCTACATGAACTCTCAAGTGTCTGTTAAGATGGACCTGTCGGTTAAATTGTTTCCCACACACATCACAACCAAATGAATTCTCTCCTGTATGAATTCTCAGGTGCCTCTTAAAATGAACCTGTCTGGAAAATTTTTTCCCACACACATCACAATGAAATGGTTGCTCTCCAGTATGAACTTTCATGTGCTCTTTAAGCTGCTGCTGTCGGCTATAACTTTTCTCGCAAGTAGCACAACCATATGGTTTCTCTCCTGTATGCCTTAGATTGTGCACTTTAAGTGCCCCATGCCACTTAAATGTTTTCCCACAAACATCACAACAAAATGGTTTCTCTCCTGTATGAACTCTCTGGTGCACCTTACGTTCCCCCTGCGTCTTAAATGCTTTCCCACAAACATCACAATCAAACGGTTTCTCACCTGTATGAATTCTCAGGTGCCTCTTAAAATGAACCTGTCTGGAAAAATTTTTCCCACACACATCACAATGAAATGGTTTCTCTCCAGTATGAACTTTCATGTGTTCCTTAAGCTGCTGGTGTCGGTTATAACTTTTCCCACAAGTAGCACAACCAAATGGTTTCTCTCCAGTATGCCTTAGACTGTGCACCTTAAGTGCCCCATGCCACTTAAATCTTTTCCCACAATCATCACAACAAAATGGTTTCTCTCCTGTATGAACTCTCATGTGAACCCTCTGTTCCCCCTGTGTCTTAAATCCTTTCCCACACACATCACAACCAAATGGTTTCTCGCCTGTATGGACTCTCATGTGCACATTAAGTTTGTCTTGCACCCTAAATCTTTTCCCACAAACATCACAACCAAGTGTCTCTCCTGTATGTATTTTCATGTGTCTCTGCAGACCCTGCTTTTTGCTAAATTTTTTCCCACACTCAGAGCAACTGAAAGTTTTCTCACCAGACTTACATCCTTTATCACGTACATGGACTTTTTTACTTTTCACACCCGAGTGAGTTGCTCTGGTTTCCTTCCGATCATTTTCACCATCTTCAGTCTCAGCCTTCTCTGTGGCCTTTTCATCGGAATGTGGTTGAAGATGACCATGTGGATCTAAGTTCCTGTCTGGTTCAGATCCTCCACAGTTCTCTCCATCAACCTCTGCTTCCATCTGTTCAGCTAAGCTGTACGACGGAGGCTCTGCCTCTCTGATCTCTTCAGTTCGGCTTCGATGAGGCTGTGAAGACTGAGGTTTCTCCTCATCATCTTCATTCTTCACATGGACAGGAGTGAGTGGGAGCTTGGTATCATCAACTTCCTCCAGCCCTCGAAGCTGTTCTCCCTCCTGACTGGTCCAGAGTTCCTCCTGTTCCTCTTTAATGTTTGGTCTCTTTGGTTCCTCCTGATCCAGACTAAGGCTTAACTCAGGGGGAACCTCTTCTTTAATCACGAACAGATACTGAACATCTGCAGGGAACAATGAAACACACACATTATGGACAACTGTGACTTCATATAGTCTTTACTCAATGTCAGTGACATCACTGATGATTCTTTTGCAGATTTGCAGCATTCATTCTGTACTATTAAAAGTAATAGTAAGACAATGTAAAAAATACTTCATTACAAATAAACATTAAATAAGCACAAAAATATCATCAGATAAATGTACAAAATTTCTTCTTTGGATTCTCCCCTTGATTGTGAGAAGCACTGCAACAGCAAAGTAATGCGACAATATTGAGTAGTTACAACTTGTTTCACCAGTAATTTAAAGTGCCAAAGATGGTATACCCCAAGTTAAACATTAAAACCGAGATGGAATAATAATAATTTACCTAGCTCTAAAAAGCAGCTAGCAAACATAGTGGAGCATTTAGCAATTATTCAGCTAGATCTTTCCTTCAAGAATTGGTGGAGACCAAAAGCGGAGATAAAAAGATATGTTCATTTCAAGATAACTATAATTAAAAGCAGCTGTGTCATAGCAGCAATAAAATAAAATCTCTAAGGCTGACTGATGATAAAGGCACCCTGCACAACTCCTACGAAAGCAGTGGTTAGCGTGGTGCAGAATCAATTTCAGTCGGACTCAAACTCTTTATAAGGAAATGCTCAAGAGTAAAGAGACAAACATGTTTTAAACTGGAAAATACACTCCATGGCCGATGTCAAACATTCACCAAACTTTAAATAAATAACATTCTAATGCAGAATAAACAAACTCTGTGTTTATTTCTCTAACAAAAATACATGAACTCAAACTGTCACAATGAAAAAAAAAAACTTAGTATACTTTTTCAAATATTCAAAGATACAAATTAGAGAAAATACAATTTAAAAAAAACAATTTAAGTGATGAGCATTGGTGCTCAACTTAAGAACATTTAGTTAGGCATGAACTGTTTATAAATTTATTGGTTATCATAAATTAAAAAATGTAAGTATTAAAATGTCAATATTAAATAACAACATTACGTTCCTTGGGAGCACCATCCCGAAACAGGAAAATTATAGGCCAATATTTATTCAGTATGAATTATTACCATCAGTCTAGAGCTCCTATTAATTAACTTAATAAATACAACCAAATTACCATATACACATTAAGGTTGACAGTTTTCACACTTTTGCGACATTAAACATACCAGCAGATTTACTTAAAGAGATGCATTTTCAATGTAGCAAAAGCAAACACGACCTTAGCATGATAGACAGGGAGCGGTGTGGGGGAGGGAGAGTGAGTCATTTCTTTACTGTAGTTCATGTAGTCTAAAGGTGCCAGGTTAAAAAGGAGAAGGTCAGCTGCATGCAGGTTCCATAACTGGGATATATTACAGGTGTGAGTGTGAACATACAAGTACCAAGTTAACAGTGTGACTGACCAGCAACCTAAGCAGACATTACAACCATCAAGTAGAGTGGATACCTTAACCAAACATGTACATGTATATTGACAAAGGTTAAGATTTCTGTTGATTAGCTGTGCTGTGCTATGCTGTGCTAGGTCGATTGGCCTATAAAGTTAACATTACCCAGTCCTTGGAACAAAAGAGAGGTCCTTTCCAGTGTTGCGTTTAAAATCCAGCGAATTGTGTTGCTTTCTGATGGAGTGAAGTCCTGTCTGGCTGTGTGATGTTGGTGAGGAGGCTGCTGGTTTCTCCTTGGTTCTTCTTACAGAGTTAGCTGATCCATGCTAGCTCTGCTGTGGCTCTGGTTGCTTGGAAAATCAGAAGGCTGACCTTATGGTGTAGCCGCTGGTGCTTAAATAAACTTGGTTTAATCTTGGTCGTTAAGCCTTAGAGGAACCTTCATCAATGCTGTTCAACAGCAGAGTGACAAAGAGTGTTGGATTCTGCTGTGAGCAGACCTGCAGGAGAGCTATTGTCCCACGTAGTAGCAGTGCTAACCTGCTGCAAGAAGTCTTTTTGCTCCAGGAGAGGAAAGTTAGAGAATGAAGAGAGCTTCAGCTAGCAGGAGTGTTGGTTTTATTGTCTGGTAACACCCATTGACCAACACTCACTGCTCAGTAATGTCCCAGGGGGAGGGTCGTCCCCAGGTGTGCAAAGTGAGGAATTGTGGGGAAGTGAATTATTTTGTCTGTGCAACAAAAGAATATGTGGTCTCCACCATCTTTAATGTAGTATTCCCAACAAAATAAAGTGCAAATTAGGGTTGTGCTGGTGAACGATGACATAGGTGATGGACGATCATTAGAACAATCGCTGATTGCTTATGCCTTTGAAAATGTAAAGACAGTATTTGACTACTATGACGTTACATTGGGTAACGTAACGTGTAGACCTGCCAGAACGTACCGGAACGACGGACCACTACTTTTTTACTCCAAGTGATTAAATGTCACTGTCACTGAAATGGTCAAAGTTTTGATTGATTTTCAGGCAATCATGCATCAAGTAACATGCAAGGAAACATTCCCCCGGAAAAGATGTCGGTAGCCTCTGAAGCGCTCAGTATATCAAATGGTTAATTAGTAAAGATGAAGATGATTATTCATCTTTCGCTTGTGATCAAACTGTACATAAAGAAGGCGGAAATATTTTATAAGATCAGCTCTACGTACGATTAAGACAGAGCAGCAATTGCACTGGGTGACGACTGGACGATCGAACTATGGTTAAGATTGCGCAACCCTAGTACAAATCTGCAAGAATGAGTGAAGTTTTAAAACTAAAGTGTTACACTTTCATAGAAATAACAGTAAATTTGAAGCATGTAATGTATTTCAACTATGCTGTGATACGCTGGTACAGTTCAACTGAACCAGCAACTCTGTAGTTTCACTTACTGCTGCTGCTTTCAATAGCATGCTTGTGTTTACATATCCTCATATGTTTTATCCTGTTTGAAAAATCTCTGAATAGATGGCCACAAAAACTGCAACTGAACGGTTTCTCTTTTGTGTGAATTCTTGTGTGCACGGTTAACTCTCCCTGTCTTTTAAATCTTTTCCCACACACATCACAACCAAATGGTGTCTCTCCTGTATGAACTCTTGTGTGCAGTGAAAGGTAAGCCTGTTGAGTAAATCTCTTCCCACAAACACTGCAACCAAATGGTTTCTCTCCTGTATGGACTTTCATGTGCCTCGTAAGATCCCCCTTCACCTTAAATCTCTTTCCACAAACACTGCAACCAAATGGTTTCTCTCCTGTATGTGCTTTCACGTGCCTAGTAAGATGCACCTGTTGCTTGAATCTTTTCCCACACACATCACAACCAAATGGGCTCTCTCCTGTATGGACTCTTGTGTGCAATGAAAGGTACCCCCGTCGATTAAATCTCTTCCCACAAACACTACAACCAAATGGTTTTTCGCCTGTATGGACTTTCATGTGCCTCGTAAGAACCCCCTTCACCTTAAATCTCTTTCCACAATCATTACAACCAAATGGTTTCTCTCCTGTATGGACTTCCATGTGCCATTTGAGATTCTTCTGTCCTTTAAATGTTGCTCTAGTTTCCTTCGAATCATCTTCACTGTCATCAGTCTGGGAGGAATCTAAGACCTGTTCATCCGTATCTGGTTGAAGATGACCATGTGGATCTAAGTTCCTGTCTGGTTCAGATCCTCCACAGTCCTCTCCATCAGCCTCTGTTTCCATCTGTTCAGCCGAGCTGCAGGACGGAGGCTCTGCCTCTCTGCTCCTTTTAGTTTGGCTTCGACGAGGCTGTGAAGACTGAGGTTTCTCCTCATCATCCTCACGCTTCAAACAGACAGGAGTGAGTGGGACCTTGGTATCATCAGCATCCTCCAACCTTTGAAGCTGCTCTCCCTCCTGACTGGTCCAGAATTCCTCCTGTTCCTCTTTAATGTTAGGGTTCTCCAGGTCCTCCTGATCAAGACTAAGGCTCAACTCAAGGGGAATCTCTTCTTTAATCACCAACAGACGCTGAACATCTGCAGGGAACAATGAAACACACACATTATGGACAATTTATATTGTCACTGAAATCAGTGGTGTTTTTACTGAATCCCCGATACTCTTCTCTGTGGACATCAACAGCATTTCCTGCAGCAGTGAGGGGTTGACACTTTTTCAGTATGCAGATGACATGGCCCCAGAGGCCCACCTGAGTGGCACCAGTGCTCTGTCTAAATATAATCAGGCTATAGACAGCCTATTCCAGACATTTTGGGAATGCTCTCTCAAGCTTAGCATCACCAAAACTCAGGAGCTGTGCTGTGGGAGCAGGGAAAAATCAGACCCACAACAACCAATTTACAATTTACCAAACCAGCAAGATGAAAAAGTGGTGGTGAGTCCATACCTTGAAGAGGTCGTGGGATCAGACTGTCTGCTCATTCATCACTTATTTATATTCCTTTAGTCCATAAGAGTCCACAGATCACAAAAGCCAGAGGAGAGATTTTATGAAAGTTTTCAAAGTCATTAATATTGTCATGTGAAGTCTATTGCAGACTTTCAAGCTTCTTGATTAACAGCACTTCTCTCCACATTTCTGCCATTTCCCTCCTTCAGGCTGCCTGGAAGTGGGTATGCTTGTTTTCCTGCCCCAGTCCAGCTCGTGAAGGTGGATGAGGTTGATCATATTCTTCTTCAAGCTCAAACTGATTAGGCGGCCCCAAACACCATTGTAACAGTGAACCATTTGTTTACGTCAACACATGGGCAGAACATGTAATTGCCAGCAAGCTGACCAATCAGAAGACTCAGGGGGAGAGGAGGCCTAAAAAAAGCTTGATGAACATGAAAATGGCCATAATGCGTCCTCTCTTATGTTTTAATGGGTCATGATGGAAGGCGGATGTGTGGTTTTTGTAAGTAAACTCCAGATTAGGGTTGCACGGTATACCAGTACCAGTATAGTTTCGCAATACTAGAGTTTTGAAAGCGGTACTATACCAGCATTTAAAAACAAACGGTACTTTTATTAAATTGAATGCAAATGAATTGGTAAATTGGAGCCTGTCTCAGCGAGTGTGACGTAGTTGCCCGAGCAGATGTAAGCCGTCTCCAACGCATACTCGCATGTTTAGACTGAGGAGGAGAGAGAAACGACAAGTCGCGTCTTAGACAGACGGACCAGGTTGAAGAAAATGCAGTAGATAGAGATGGCAGCTGCAGAAAAGCCCGTACTTGTGGACAAAATGGGGGCCCGAAGTACGGTGTGGAAATATTTCGGGTTCAAACCGAATGATAAAGGCGAGCCACTGAACCCAGAGGCACCGCAGTGCAAGTGGTGCTACAAAGTGTGTCTCACAAAAAGAGGCAACACTTCAAACCTGTCGAAACATTTAAAGTACAACCATGCGGACTTGTTCCGCGACTTCAGTCAAGAACGACAGGTGATAATGTTGTTCACCAGTTCACTGCACTGTAATGTCAATTAAAGAAGTACAAAGCCCCTCCCAGCCCAGTAGTAAACCTACAGTAGCCTGCATACAGTGAGCTAAAACATGTCCATGGTTAATAGATACATTAAAAAATATATTTTTAAAAATTATATTACATTCTTAAAATATTTAAATATTGAAATAACCCATTAAGGCAATGCATAATATAATGAAATATTTATTACAAAAATTATCGAAATACATATTGGTATCGGTATCGAAATAGAAATTTGGTATCGTGACAACCCTACTCCAGATTAAACAATTCAAAAGTTCCAAAGAAAGTTATTCACTTCTCCAGTTTCGATAGAGGGAGAAGATGGGTACCGCCCCTCAGAAATGTGCTGTCAATCAGGGAAATAACATCACTGGGATCGCTCTGCATATTGTTTTTTGGCCATTCTGGTGCTTTGCACTTATTTTCCCTTTTGTTGTTTTTGTCCACGCATTCTTTGTTATTTCATTCACCACATGATTTTCCTTTGTCTTTACCCTTGCCTACACAGATGGGCTTCTGAATATTTGTGTGTCATATGGACAATGACTTGGGTGAACTGACCATTTAAAGTTATATATTATAACATTTCCGCATCAAAATGTCTCAAGATTACTATACCTGTGTTATATATTTTTTGAGTTGTGATCTTAAATTACCCAAATATTTCCAGCAATTCTCAATCCAAGACAACTACATTATTTTAGTGAGGTAAAACTATGTCATTTGGTCGCCTGTCAATAATATCACATCCCCTTTGCGCATTTTTTCTTTAATCTGTCCGTCATACAGCGTCAGTGAAACACCGACTTTAAATGTGAAACTGTTTTTCTGATTGTTTCTTACTGTTCTAATGACCAGGCCTGTTTGATTTCCAGAACGTCAGATAGGAATGAAGGAATCAAAACTATGAGAAAATGACGGTGATGGAGACTACAAGTCCCACGATCCCACACTATTTCATGAAATCATCCAATGCCATCTTTTGTCATTATTTGGATTGAGAGTCACCTAGAGGCAGAAGTTACATACTGTGCGTTTAAAGGACAGAGATGACCTTTCCTTTGTGAATAATAAAATATTGTCCCCAGTTCCCCTTACATGTATTTTAACTCACTTTTTAAATTACCATTTTTTGTAGGTACTTCAGTCTGTGGGTTCTCCTGGAATTGGATCCTGAGGTCCACGTGGTTCTGAGTTTCACTGATCTGAGGTCCGCTGTGCTTCCTCTGCTCTAACTGACCTCTGGAAGACAAAGACCTGACAGACGAAGATTAGCAGCAGGTTAATTACAGAAGTCCACAGCTGCCAATATTAAAAAATACACGTAATGATATCTTCACCTGTATGGCATTATTGATAATGAAAGCTTTTGGTACATGATACACACTATTGAGCCCAGAAATGCTATAACATCCTGTCGCCTTTTCACTGAGAAAGCGTTACTCAGCTATACCAAGAAACAAAGGTTAAAGTCTGAAGCTGCACCGCAGCAAATCATGCCCTTGAGAAGAAACAGTGGTTTCTAGAGCTACCACCTCACAGGCTGAAGACAGACGTGTCTACAGTTTCCTCAAGCAACAATTGGCTGTTTGTGTTGCTCTGCTATCTCCTGAGGTGAGAAAATGTGAAACAGACATCTGCACACTAAACAAAACACATGTCACCTGTGCAGAAGCAATGGCTATGGCCCTAAAGCCAGTGAAAGATTCAACCAACATAATGTCTAAGACATTTTATCTCAGGGCTGCCTTTCCTCTGAGTGGACTGAAGGAAAATAATTAATCTTAGTCAAGGTTGCCATTGAGTAGTAATAAACTACATTTGAATCAGTGTGAATTCTTTTATTTTATTTTCTCTTGAACTGTCTACCACCGACAAATGTGAAAAGTAATTTAAAACAGCAACTTGGAATCAAATGTATAAATGTATTAGATTGAAAATCAATTTTGAATCGAATCTTGAGATTTAACAAAAAGTTAAGTAGGAACCTTGTTGGAGTTCTGTTATTCATATCCAGATTCTTGTCGTACTCATCTTCATTATCCTCTTCATCATGGGGGAGTCTCCTGCTGCACTCCACACCTGAATAAAAAGCAGAAATCAATTATTTCCACTTCATATTGCTGAAAATGTGTGTGACTGTGAGTATTTTATTTTGAAACTATTGAGCAGACGTTATATTGTTTATTCCAGCTCACTAACGCCAATTTTACATAAAATTTAAACAAGTTAACGTGTCACAATCATTTTCCATCATCATTATTAGAAGCAGTATCAACAGTATCAATACTATTGTTATTATCTACAATAGTAGAACGTGCTGGTTCTGTCCTACATGTTCTGCCAAAGCTTGACTAGTTGTTAAATCCTGAATTAGAAGCATCTCTGCAAAACTCCATCCTGAAAACTTGCTATTCAATTTTCCCTTTGTTAAAGCTAAAGTCTGTATGTGCTGAAGACATGATACAACACCTGAACATAAAACACCTGTGTCTAACCGTACATCTGGCATGCAACATAACCAGAGAGCAGCAACACGTGGGGAAAACAACCATGAATCTGCGGTGATCAACAGCCCGCCACAGCTTCGCGCTGCAGAGGACGATTCACTCAGGAACAGAGGAAACTTTGTGGTTCGTGGATTTAAAAGTTTACGCCTAAAACGGAATGACCAACCGGTTTTGTTGAGTATGACCCGAGGCTGCAGGAGAACCTCCAGTTGTCTCCTTTGCCGATCGATCTCGTGTCTGAGGCCCGACGCCTCCTCCTCGTACCCGGCTACGAGTCCGTCCACGGCCGCTAAGATTTCCTGGGAGGCGGCGGCGAGTCTCTCAGTAACAAATCCTCTCAGAACCTCGGACTTAGACATTTTACTGCAAGTCTCGCTTCAATCCGCCGCGTGTCGTGGACAATCTTACTCGTTTATTGTTCCTCGCAGCGCTGCCCCTTTCCGGTTCCGGTACGTGCTTTAAAGTCATCCGAGTGGAAACCGCGACCCGCGCTAACCGTTACATTTTCTTTTTCTTTCATATTAAAAGCTTCTGTAAACGATCGTCACTGTTGGTTATGTTGCATGCCGAATTTCCAGTTAGACACCAGTGTTGAGTTCAGGTGTTCAACAATCTCTTACTCACGTATAGACTTTAGCATTAGCATAGGGAAAATTGATTAGCATATTTTGAGGATAGAGTTTTGTAGATATGCTTCTAATTCAGGATTCACCACAGTTCAGCTACGACAGAACATGTTGGACAGACTCAACAAGTTCCACTGTACTAAAGAATAACAAAAGTATTGATATTACTCATACTACTACTAATGATGATGATAATAACACTAAAAAAGTACTGATAATAGTGTAAGTGGCATTAATTTGTGTTGAATTTTAACATACAATTGGCTTCAGTGAGCTACAATTAACAATATCACTTACTGTATGCTCAGAATTTTCAAAATAAAACACTCAGCCACATACATTTTCAGCAATATGAATTGGAAATAATTGATTTCTGCCTTTTGGTCAGGTGTGAAGCGCAGCAGGAGACTCCGCCATGATGAAGAGGAAGATTCGGACTTGAATTTGGACGACGGGGATCTGGATATGAATAACAGGACTCCATCAAGGTTCCTACTTGACTTTTGTTATCATTATTATTTTGTCTACATATATACAGCGTATATGAGTGTGTCTATGGAAAATAAACTCTGCTTTCTTTTTCATTTCACCCTTTAAAACTGTATAATTGCAGGTGTAATGCTGTGTAATTTACTGTGTAGAAAAAGTATCAATGCTGATTTAAATTAATGTCTGGACCAAATATTATCAGACACATTTTTTCTGTATAAAGCTGAGTGACTTGAAACCAAAAGGACTACAGCCCACTCACATTGATGTATTAAGTCGACATTACAGCTGCTAAAGTTAAAACAGAAATCATAGTTTCCTGTCCTGACGTTAACTAATGTTGTAATGAAAATGTTCACCAGAATCAAGACACACTTCATTTGGAGGAGTCCAGTTGAACTTTAGCTTGTCCAATGTAAATAAAAAGCTAATTTCATATTCACTTTCATCATCATGTCAATTTTATTCTGAAAATTATTTGTCAATTTCATCATTTCAATTAGAATTTTGGTAAAAACCACAATTTTTGAATTTGAATATCAACATTTGTATTTTAATCATATGAGATATTTCCACACAAATGGAAAATGAAACCTCAGTTGGGTTATTACATTTAGTTTTTAGTATAGGCAGCTTGGGACTATTGTAATAAAGCTGCTGCTAATGTTCATCTTTCAGGTCTTTTTCCTCCAGAGGTCAGTTTGAGTGGAGGAAGCACAGCGGACCTCAGATCAGTGAAAGTCAGAACCACATGGACCTCGGGATCCGCATCCAGGAGAACCCACAGACTGAAGTACCTTCAAACAATGGTAATTAAAAAAAAATCAAATATAAATGAATTCAATGTAAACTGATGAAATACCTTTAATATTCACAAAGGAAAGGTTATCTCTGTCCTATACATCAGGTTTAAAAAGTAAGTTCACACAACAAATTTCCAGGTGATAAAAAAATATTCTGAAGCACATCTTTTGCAATTGCACTGGGTGACAATTGGCCAATCTGACTATGGTTTAGGTCGCGCAACCCCAGTACAAATCTGCAAGAATGAGTTGAGTTTTAAAACTAAATTGTGTTACACTTTCATACAAAGAACAGTAAATTTGAAACATGTAATGTATTTCAACTATGCTGTAATATGCTGTTACAGTTCAACTGAACCTGCAACTCTGCAGTTTCACTTACTGCTGCTGCTTTCAAGAACATGCTTGTGTTTACATGTCCTCATATGTCTTGACCTGTTTGACTCATAACTGAATGGCCTGCCACAGAGGCTGCAACTGAAGGGTTTCTCTTTCGTATGGATTCTTGTGTGCCTCGTAAGATCCCCCTTTTCTTTAAATCTTTTCCCACAAAAATCACAACCAAATGGTTTCTCTCCTGTATGAACTTTCATGTGCATAGTAAGATTCCTCTTCACAACAAATCTCTTCCCACAAACACTGCAACCAAATGGTTTCTCTCCTGTATGAACTGTTATGTGCATAGTAAGACTGCTCTTCGCATTAAATCCCTTCCCACAAATACTGCATCCAAATGGTTTCTCTCCTGTATGAAGTTTCATGTGCATAGTAAGATTCCCCTTTGCATTAAATTTCTTTCCACAAACACTGCAACCAAATGGTTTCTCTCCTGTATGAACTATCATGTGCCTATTAAGAGTCCTCTTCACATTAAATCTCTTCCCACAAACACTGCAACCAAATGGTTTCTCTCCTGTATGA